CAGGCCGGCCGGTTCTGTGGCAGGAGCCCCCAGCTGTGGCCAGGGCTGGACTTCGCAGTCTCAGGGCGGGGGGTTCATGGCAGCCCCAGGTGAAGGTAAATAGCAGCACCCCCCACTTGGAATGGCCGCTCTGCAAACCTCTTCTGTTCTCTGCAGGGTGACACCCTAGCTGGGTGAACAACCCCCCAGTGACCCACCTGGGTTCCCTGCAGCTCGGCGCTGCTCCAGGGCCCCCCCACCAGGAACTGGGGATAGAACCCAGGAGTCCTGGCTCCATGCCCCCCCCGGCTTAACCCACTAGTCCCCATTCCCCACCCAGAGCCAGGGATAGAACCCAGGAGTCCTGGCTCCCAGCCTCCCCCCACTCTAACCGCTAGCTCCTCCCCTGTGCTCTGACTGAACCCCCACCCTTCCTTCTGTCTGTCCATCCATCCTCAGCCCCCCATGTGCTCTGTCCATCCCCACTTCCCTCCTTCCATCTGTCTGTCCATCCATACATCCCCATACACCGCCCTCTACATTTCTCCACCCATCCCCCATCGCTGGCTGGCACCGTGTGCGGGGAGGGGGACCCGAGAGGAGCCATCACTGTGATCTCTGAGCTAGGCCCCGTAAGCCTGTGGGACTCCCTGCCACAGGATTTGGCTGAGCAGGGGGGTGGGGCTGGGGTCTCGGAGCCATTGTTGGTGGTGGGGCACCCTGTGCCTGTCAGTTTTTATAGGAACCCCGTATCTCACCCCCCTTCCCCTGCACAGAACCCCCGATCCTGGAGCTGAGATGACGCAGGTCGGACCCTCCTCAGGGAACGCAGCGCGGCTGGGATGGACAGTGGGCCTGCCAGTGAAATGGCCCCCAGAGGGCAGCAAAGGGTCAGGAAGGAGCGAGGGGCAGTTTGGAGACACCCCCAGCCCCAATTCAGTGTGTGTGTGTGGGTGGGGGGGCAGTTTGCAGACACGCCCTAGCACAATGGTTCTCAACCAGGGGTACATCTACCACTGGGGATACACAGAGATCTTCCAGG